GAGTTAATCAATACAGTGGTGATCAGTCTGTGTACTGTCAGAGAGTTGGGATGGGAATGTTACTTGGAGGCAAGAAGAGGAACTGTGTCGTTGTTAGTACTGTGACGTTTTGTGAGAGATGAGGAAGGGTGTGCGTGTTATTATTGACGCAGTGTCATCCGTTGATAGCGCTGGTGTTCTGAGGTAAAGGTTTCTTCTACGTATACCAATAACGCCAGACTCACTATAAGGCAAGCCTAGTACGTTCGTAGGAGTGGCTTGCATCAGTAGACATATATTATGCAGTTCTCTCGGCTATGTTATAAAAGGTCATGTACATTATTGTTTGATGGTGTAGTCATTTATTTAATTTTCTCAGGTGTTATTTAATAGTTCATTTTTATTTTATTTTGTATGTGCATGATGTATTTGTAGTTTATGTGTTTTATGGCGCATTCATTCATATATTATGTAATTATATTTATTTTTTATTTATTGATTTGAGTAATGTTCTATTTCTTGTTACAGATACTCATAGGCACTCGAGTTCTCTAGTGTGCTGAGATCTAGAAGGAACGAGTTGCGCGCTCATAGTGTTGTTGGCTAATTATCGCATAGATTGAGTATGGTTACAGAGCCGAGACTCAACATTGTGATCAGAGTGAGTCTGTCGCTATATTAAAGTGCTTAGTCTTATTGCTCTGTAGGCGCAGTAGCGCAGAAGGAGTCGATCCAAACTTTCGTGCATGGCTCTTCCTACCTATGTGCTCGGCGTTAGGTGTAGACGCTACGTGAGACACCGCCTGAAAGTACATATGTGTCAGAAGCTAAAGATAGATCGCAGGTTCCCTGATACCTCTCTCTATCTCTCTCCACGTGCTTCACACTCCGTGCTCAGAATACACTAGATCTCTAGAGTCTCCTCGCCCCCTCGCCCTCGCTCTCGCTATACACCGTTTTCTACGGCTGTCAAACTTCGTTTCTTAGACATGTCTATTATGTCAGATTATCTAGTAATTCTTTACTCCTCTGCGTTGATCAGGCATTGTTCCGCTATAGCTAAATGTGATCTGTACATCTCGGGTGCATTGTGTGTTCGCGATCATACCCTGGGCTTCGCGACTCAGTATTGATTACTGTGTCTTCGACGTGTCTCCTGAACAGCCGTCTTCTCCCACAGATACCTTGCCGTTGTCCAGTTCCTGTGACCTATGATGCTCTCCTATATATTCGCGATCTTCTGCCTCGCGCCGTGCATAGGTACCCGCCGCCAGCCGCCAAGAGTGCTACGGAATGCATTAAGCCACTGAGTGTTTCTAAAATAACAATAGATGTCCTCACGGAATATCAGACTGCTATCGAGTGGCCAATACACTCTCACTCCCGTAGTCCAATGAGTGTCCGACTCAGCTTCTCATCTCCTTTACCCTACAGCTCTTCCATGTCAGTACACATTCACCCAACATAAAATGAGGCACCCCCAAAGGACTTCTGACCCTCACAGCGACCACAAATCATACCACACCAGCCCGCGCTTTGGAATAGATCCTGATATGCTCGTCTCGTATCATCAATCGCCCATCCTCTCAAACAGCGATGGCTCTAGCTCCCCCTCCATCTGTTCATCACAGGACACACGTAGACGCGATATCCTATACACCCGCACTGCTAGAATAATCAGACTACACCCCCGCGCTCCCACACCCTCCATCGCCCCACTCAGTAGCAAGATTGATAGCACACTTCCCTAATGATACTATTGTCCCAGCGCGCCCTCTCAAATGTCGTCCGCGCCACTGCACATCGCTCACCATCCCCCTCCGTTCTCGATCACTCGCTAGCCCTCGGGACACACACTCGCACCCCTAGTTCCCCAGTGCCTCTGCACCTTAAGCCCACCCCACAATAACCTACAATCCCCCCCAACTCATCTTGTATATAGTCCCTCTGGGCTACCCCCCTCTCTACTTGTAGATAGTCCACGGCGCTCACACATTTTGAATTATCCTCGTCCAGGGCCCTTCACTTATCTCGCAATCCACCTCACAGCCAGCGCTCGCCTCCCACCACTCCTCTCGCTCTCGCTCTCTCTTCACACCTCGCTCTCAGTCCCGTGTATCCTAACACCCACTAACACATCCTTACATCGCTTCTCCCTCCCACACGGCTCGCCCCCATCTAAATTGCGACCCCAGCACACGGACCCACCCATCCGTTCTCCCTCGCTGCTAGCGCATCTCGATCATATCAGCTGACTGCCTCCTTCACTCCCCTCCCCGAAACCCTACACCCATCTCCTCCCCCTCTCTCATGCAAACTCCCCGCGATTAAACACCAAATTTTCCCCCCAAGGATAAGGCACAGTTCCAATTCCCCCACACCCTACCCCTCCACTTTGTGTGTGTGTGTGTGTGTGTGAGCCCCTAACATCACAACAGCTACGTTTACTCGTTCGCCACCCCTGTTCCCTATCCTACGCGCCACATTGTGTGTGTTAGTTATGGTGGTGCAACCCTAGTCTAAAGTCGATCCTCTAGGGGAGAGTGGATGAAGCGAGCGCCTTTACGCTTTGTAGTTCCAATCATAACAAACACCCCCCACTAATAATATTAATCTCTCTAACACCCCCACCCCACCCAACCCCACCCCCAGTAGACCCCCCATATCCCTATGAGTCCTCTTGTGTACTCTCCCGTGTAGTATAAGATCCTCTAACGATAGTATATAACCACCGACCCTACCCCGAGATGGCCAGTCCTGCGCGACCCTCTCCTATCTCACAGGGCCGCTAACGCGTGAGTCGCGTCCCACCCACCCGCGGAATCTATGTGAAGTGCAGCTGAGAGTCGCGCCACGTCACCCCCGATATCCCACGTCTCAGTCACCCCTATACTTACAGAAGCTCCCTGCCCCCCACATCCCGACCCGCGTCAGCTCCTGTGCCTGCAGTGGGCCAAGCCCAGCCTCGCTATCCCCCCCCGGCTCACCCATCCGTCTACACTCTGATAAATCCCACTCGCACCCCTCCTCACTCTACACCCCCCCTCACCACCCCTAGCCCTAGCGAACCATCCCACCCCATCCCTCTCCCCTACCTGCCACACGCGCTGTTTTCATGTCCCTCCTCTCCTATATTCTAGTTCGGAACCCGTGGCTGCTTCTATTCTCTCGGCACTTTGTGTTGTACACAGATCATCCTCTCATAACGGTTGCGTAGCCCCCCCCTAAATCACTACCAGTGAAACTACCCTCGCCTTCGCCTGATTTCTCGCGCCCCCCACCCCCCCCCCCCGGTCCCTATACTCCTAGAATACAGTACTTGAATTGAACCTTAACCTTGAAAAACATGTTTTATCTTTTCACAAAAAATGTATCTTTTCACCTCTTTCATAGCATCTCTTTCCTGTGCTTCGCAAGAATGACCCTGTATTCATTAAGATGGAGGTGTAGCCCTGACTACTGTATATACAATAATGTAGCCCTGGCTGTATACAATAATGTAGCCCTGACTATATACAATAATGTAGCCCTGACTATCTACAATAATGTAGCCCTGACTATATACAATAATGGGATTGTATTTTGTGTCATAAGTCAACACTAACTAGTCTTGCCCTGGCTCTGTCCTCACGAGATTTATTGCAGCCACACATTTAGCGCCACATTGATCTGTCAGTCTTCTCATCACTATGCTGATACAGGTGCTATTTCAGAGCTGTTTCCGTCACTGCTAAAATATTTCCAGATGAAAGATGAGCACAGTAGAAACACGCGCTTGGATGATGAATGAGTGCATGTGCCTTGATGGGGGGCTGAGCTGTGAGTCTATGAAAGGAGATCTCATCCTGTTCCTGCTCTGTTCCTGACATGTTCCTCTGCTTCATCTCCTTGCCGCCTTCCTCACCACCAAGCCAGTGAAGTCTTCAAAAAAGCCCTGTTCCGCTCATACAACACATTTCATTGTGTGACGCTTTGAAACAATCATAAAAATACAATGTTTGCGAACAGCCTGGATCAGAGTAAAAGGGTGTACAGCATTTGAAATATTTTACAGCCTGAATTTTACTTCGACAATTATATTTGGTTTTGTCAGTGTACACCGGAGACTGTATATTGATGGACATTGCTAACCTCCTAGCTCAATGAAGCCCAATAAGGAAGAGCTCATGCACAAAGTTTTGCTCCTACTCGCTCTGGCGCCTATTGACTAACATTGAAAATTAAATTTGTCTGGCACTGTAACCATGTGTATCTTGTAACAAGATATTGCATTTCTTAATTTCATATATGAGTGGCCATAAAATAAATAAATAAAAATAGAATAAATAAATAAAATGAATAAAATAAACAAAATAAATAATAAAATAAAATAAAATACATTAAATACATGAGAAAAATAAATACTGTCCACAACTATGCAGCCTTATTTTGAGTGTAATTTGTGATCGGTCTCGACCCGCCTGGTGTTGTAGAATAAAGAAACCTTTATTCTAAAAACGTATCAAGACAGCCTCACGTCACAGATACAACACCATTATTTTGGCTCCAAGTAAATTCACATCAATTGAAAATCAGACTGTCTGTATTATTTATCAAAAGCTGTTGTGCTTACTTTAGAACGTACCTTTCTTTTCCACCATTTAATTTGGCAAAGGAATTACAAGACCAGCCACCCTTAAGGTCCAAATGTGCAACTGGACATTTGTCACAGACTGTGGAGGCTCTTTCTCCAACGGGAAAAGCATCGGAAACCAATCGAATCAATTTCCTCAACAGCCTCTTTTCTCTGTAGCCATTTCAAGTGCCTTATGGCCTTTTGCATTCAGGTTAAGTTGATTATTTGTTTTCTCGCTGCATACTCCAAATGAAAAGAATCATAAGCATCCATCCCTCCCTCCGCTCTCTTGCATAAAGCTGGCAGCAATAACTTTATAGACTAAAAGTTTAATGGTACCAATGAAGCGGCTTTACTCAGTGTCTCCCTGTGGATTTCTGAATTACATTTTAAACTCCACTGATCACATTTAGGACTTGTAATGGCCAGACCAGAGCGGATTACACACCTCATTCATCTGAATTCAGTCTCCAGCTGCACACGCTCTGACAGTAAAGGCCCACTGCTCTTAGATGTCCCACAGTAACTTCAATTAAAATGGGACTGAGCCACTGCAGTCTGAGCTTTGCGGTCGATCAAGCAGCTCCTGAGAAAATGACTACATGCAGTTTTAGTAGATGAGTTCATATAGCCATATTCTATTACCGTCTGTCCGTCAAGACTGCGGTAGTTGAGATGGAATGGATGTGGAGAAGCTGTGGACGGTTGTGAATGGAGCAAAACCAGTGCAAAGCCTGGAGATGGTTTCGTGAAAAGGTATCTGGATTCTGGTATAAATACTGACAATGACTTTACAGAAGAGATAACCAAGGATAAAATCTATGTATAATTTATCATCAATTGTTTTTTCCAGAATTGAAAAGCGTAATTTGAAGTTTATATACAAAATACATTGTTTTACTTTTACTCTTTAGTTATAATAGAATATATCCTTACATTCTTGTGCCCACTCAAAAACCATGCATTTGCCTTGAGCATTATTCATAGAATTCCAATATATTATTTTAGGACTGTCCTCTGGAGATGAAGGTTATTTTTGTTATTTTGCTATTTTGAATAATACAATGCATTTTTTGACAGAAGCCAAAAGGTCAGTGAAGAAAATGTAACAACAATTTTTAATGCAATTACGTTCAGTTCAACTTCAAAACCAGCAAGAACATTCTGTCACGGGGTGGGAAGGAGGAGGACTCAAAGGCAAAATGCAGGAATGCCAAAAAATAACATTTAATGAAAACAAAATAAAAATCCAAAGGCACAAGCAGCAACGAAACAGGAACAGACGTGGACAAGATATTGACAATACAATGGAGTAGCAACAAGGGGAGAGAAGCACAGGGTACATATAGACACACAGAGACACAGGTGAAACACATCAGGGCGGGGCAGACAATCAAGACTGGGGAACAAGACAGGAAGTCAAACTACAACCAAACCACAACAAAACCAGTTTCAAAATAAAACAAAAATACAAAAATAAAATACACACCATGACACATTCAAATCCATACTCAAATGGAGCATGATATTGTCAGCAGACAACAACTGCCACTGTAAACTCATTCATTCATTTTCTACCCCTTTATTAGTCCATTTCTGGGTTGAGGGGGTGGCACCCAGAGCTGCCACCCGATGCCCATAGCACCAGTCCCTCACTGATCCTCTGGCAGGCAAGATGACACAGCCTTTGTCTTTCATCCACTGCAAACTATGGAATTATATATGTAGATTATGTATTATCATGTCCTGTGTGTGCGCTGCAACATTGAAATTTCCCCACACATGTGGGACAAATAAAGGCTCTCTTGTCTTATCTTATCTTTTATATGATACCTGGTGAAAACAGAAGAAGGACCCAAAATGCAAGACTAAGATAAGATAAGATAAGAGTTCCTTTATTCGTCCCACAGTGGGGAAATTTCAATGTTGCAGCGCACAGACAGGACAGTAAGAGACACACAGGGAGCACACAAAATATACTAAATAAGTAGTAGCTATGTTTCTTAACTATCTGTAAATGCTGTAAATGCAATACCTGCCTTTCAAAATAAAATAAAATATATACTTATGTAGTAGTGCAAAGTTATATACTGTACATATAGGGAAGGATAAGAAGTAGATAAAGTAAAGTGACATTGTTCAGTGACAATCTGAAGTTGCCGTATTGCACATTCACATGATTTAAGTATTAACTTATTTACAGATGAATGACATTTACAGACTCAGCAGTTCTCATTGTACAGTCTGACAGCAGCAGGAAGGAAAGACCTATACGGAACCTCTTTTTCACACAGCGGTGACAAAAAACATAAGATTTAATAGACAAAAATAACAATATTCAGGATATAACACAACTTCAATCTCAAACCACGACAAAACAGACAAAAAGTAATGGACCAACAACAAGGAGCACATAGGGTTTAAATACACTCAAGGAAACACATAAAACCAGGTAAAAGTAGTGAAAAGTCCACACCATGACAACACTGCTTTTGGCTTCTTATCATTCACTACATAGATTTAAAAGACTTTAGAGTCAGGACACATCTTGACATGAAAAGCAGCTGATCGGACACATGACTGCAGCAGTTCCGACAGAGCGCTGGCCCAGTCCCATCAGCGGCTCTGTGTCAGTGGTGTGTGTCTGATTTGATCCAGTGGCAGGTGACACTGTGATATCTGCAGGTGCCAGGCGGAAGGCTCATGTCCGAGCCCTTATCCACGTGTCTGCGCTGCACCTGCTGCCCGTTCTGCACTCCTCAATCAGTCAGCATTTGGCATTCAATAGACCACAGCCCATAAACACCACGCATGACCACCACGACAAACGCTGCCTACTAAAGACTCCGCCAAATGAACAGAAAATGGCACACACACAAAAGAAATCGGTAATTTAATGTTTTACCCAGAAAAAGGCTCCTAATGGCATATTAAAGTAACCCTTCAGTCCTATATACTCCAGAAGACATTTGAGTCATTTTGGCAGTTTCACATCAACACAAAAGTCTTTATTCCCTAATTGGTTCCCTTTACTGTAAGTGTGAGGGTACCCATACTAATTTATTGGAAATAGAAATGTATCACAAACAAAAAAATAGAAATAGAAACACTGATTGTCTAATGTTGCCTCAATGTCTTGCAAAAAGAAGAAAGATGGTTCTTCAAAGCAAATTGAAATTCTTGATATAAACACAAACCACCTGGTCATTGCTCCATCTATTCTCCTCCAGGGAATCTTACTGTGATGGTCATGCCACGGAGATAAACTTTATTAAATACATTGTTTTGTTCCTTTGCATGATACTACATGGTCGTATTTGATGCTAAATAATTAACTTAATGTATGTATTTGAATTATGTTCATGGGGTTAGAGTCTACACGTTTTTGCTTCTTCCCCACTCCCTTTTGAGCTGACAGATTGTAAATAAAGATGTATTTGTAA